ACTCTTTCTCTTTGTTCCTTGTTTGTCACTAGAAAAGAGCATCTTGTTGATTATTTCATCTTTACAAGATAACATTAAGACCATCCAAACATTCAGCTTTTTAGTTGTAGAGAATGAAAGAATCTTTGAAAGTACAAGCACTTGATTGTTTAGCAATTGCCAATGATATCTTCTTCAGATGGAATATAAGTGATTAAACACATATGTGAAATACTGAAATCATTCACAAATTTTAACTTGTTATTGATTCAATTTCATGAAATATTCAAAAATACAGTATATAACTTTTTCGATTTTATGAATTTTCCTAGAAGTATTAAAGTTTTTTTGTGCTCGTGAAAACAAAAATATGCAATGATTGATGATGACAAATATTTAAAATTTGAATTTTCGGAAAGTATTGAAACGACAATTAATAATCAGACCATCGGATTCTTGCTTAATCACCAAAGGTATATCATTGGATTCTCGCAGATAGAAACGAAGAACCTTATCCTTAAATTAGATAGGCAGAGCAAAAGCTATCGTTTGTTAGAACTTTGTAAGAAAACAAAAAAAAAAGAAAAGGTTAACGACACGTGTCGGGAACCCACGACCACGAGAGAGAATCTAACCAATCAACGGTATCAAAATCTCGACGTCCTTATTACAACAACTCGAGACGTTTCACTCCTTCAAAGAAAAACGAATCCCGTGAAAAACCTAGAGTAGTTGGACATGTGTCATATTATAGTTGGCTATAGTAGCCGTTTCTTTTTGTCCGTCCGTTAGATTCCTTGTGGTGTTCCGGAATATTTTTTTGGTTATAGGGAATCAACAATTATTTCGAAAAATCAAAATGATGATATTAAATTGAATGAAATTTGTATTCGGCTAGCAGGAAAAAGCGTTGAGTAAAGTTGCTTTGCGTCGTGGGATCTTTTATACTATTGGATTATGCGAAAGATCCTTTTTGCTCATTGCTAGTGATCCGTTTCTTAAATATTTTCATCGACATTTTTTCCTGCAAATCCCGAGTATTTTTTAAAGATATGAAGTAAATTATCTTGTTATATGTAGTGTTATTAGTCAGCAAGACTATAATTAATTTCATAGCATTGAATAGGTGATTAGGATACAACAACCTACTAAAAGAAGCAGTATCCCATATTGAAATGTAGCTAGACTTGTTTATCATCAAATGCTAAAGAGATTAAAAACAAAAAAGAGGTTATACAAAAGCAACTAACTCCATGAAAAAGCACTATAAAGTTTATAGCATAAAAATACGATGGTTACGTGGTTTCTTTAAACTATAGCTCAATGTGTATGTAAATGGACGTTACGTAATTTCTTTAAACTATGTATATGCCGAGTTCTTTTGACCACTTTGCTTTTTCACACTCACATACGCCGATATGTGTCGATTTAAGATTGTTTACTTATTTATTCTAGCTGTATATTATAGTAGTGCAAAATGAAAAGTACGAATTCATGTATCGTACGACTTGTATATATAGTGCGTTTTGCTAATCTAAGAAGATTGTTTGAACATACATATACGTGTTTTTTTCTTTCTTTTTTGTTAATTTTGAACACATGTGTTTATAAAACGAGTGTTTCCATTCCATTAAATCGAGGTTTGAGTATATCACTATGTTTGAGATGGAAATGAATACTACTAGATGTCATCTGCTTTATACTCGGCTAGAAAACTAGATTACTTAGAGCCATTGGATTGGATAATGACCATCAATATTTCATTATAATGACATTCATGCTGTATTAAAACAACCCATTTGTTCCACATATTATCTGTCCCCATGTTCCCAATTCAACAGATACACCAAAATACCCAATTTAATAATTTCGATTGGTTCCTTAAATACATGATTCGATACGGTAATATGGCGGATCCGTAATCGATTTTAAATACCTAAATACAGAAATTGTTCTGACTTTTTAACTATCACACACAGCACAATCGAAATAATAACTAGTAAGTAAGAACTTAAGAAGTTAGGAATGGATGTTTCATATTTAAAAAGATTGTAAATTTAGCATATGGAATTGATCTCTGGTCTCCATGAACCAAAAAGAAAAATAGTTATAAGCATTTAAATCTGTACTGTATAAATAATTTAACATGGTTTTGACTTTTGACTAACCATGCAAAAAAATTACATTACCTAATTTTATATTTTTTTTAAGTAGAATAAATTAGTGAAAACATTATACGAAATCCAATGATTTATTTATAAATAAAAATCATCCTATAGGAAAAACATGTATAATTTTCTAATATAGTCGTACTTAATATTCTTTTTTTAAGATTTGTTTTTATATCTAAATTATGTTTAATTCTTTCTTTTTGAATTTGAAAATTACGTTTTGACCTGGCACAATGTTTACTGTATTTACGTAACAATATAATTTCAAAGATATTGATATATGATATATTATAGGCCCAATTGTATATTTTTTTATACAAAGTCTTATTTCTAGAATCGGATTTGAACCATTGCTTATGCAGAAAACAGTACCGTACTATTATTACATCTTTCACAATCCCAATTTTTTTTACTAATATAGAAAACAATAAATACAGGATATAGGATTATGAGAATCTTGAATGGGAAGCACTATAACAAACAATAACAAGTTTCCAAAACTGAATATTGTGTATTTTAATTACTAGGCAAAAATAAAAGGAAAAAAAATCAAAATAAAATGACAAAAGGGAATAAATATATAAGTGAGTGTAACGATTCGCCGCGTGTGTACGGGCATCACAAAAAGATTCTTTGTTCCATTTAAAGATAATCTAATTAAGCATTTTGACATAAACGCCCTCGAGTCTCCACTTATTTACAGCGGCTACGATTCACCGCGTCCTTCTTCTTCTTCCCTAATCCCTTTATTCTCTTTTATCTCATTTTCTTCTTCTTCACCTTCTTCGTTCCTCTATATATACACATCTCGTAGCTTCTTTGTCTCTATCTTGTCGGTTTTTCGATGGTGCAAACAGATACAGATCATAGGATGGGGATCAATCTGAATTTGTCTATGTACTCTTTACCAAAACCCTTATCTCAATTCCTCGATGAAGTGTCGAGGATCAAAGACAATCATTCGAAACTGTCTGAAATCGATGGATATGTCGGTAAATTAGAGGAAGAGAGGAAAAAGATCGATGTTTTTAAACGAGAACTCCCTTTGTGCATGCTCTTATTGAACGAAGGTGCCTCTCTTATTTTCTTCTCTCAGATTCTCGATTTTGTCTTCGTCGATTCATGTTTTTGATTCTTACGAATGGTTTTTTTCTGTGTAGCGATTGGTGCGTTGAAGGAAGAGGCTAGAAAAGGGTCATCAGTGATGGCATCAAATGGTAAATTCGATTTGGGTGAAGGGGCAAAACTGGAAACTGATAATAAGAAGAGCTGGATGAGCTCTGCCCAGTTATGGATCTCGAATCCTAATTCCCAATCGCAATCGGTAATCCACAATAAGTATAAATTAAAAATCAATCCTTTTTGTATGTTTTTGCTTTTAAGATTTCTCCAATTGATCTCTTTAACCTTTTGATCATGTGACAGACAAACGAAGAAGATGATCGGTGTGTGACTCAGAACCCATTTCAGACCGGTAATTACCCTAATCAGGGAGGGGTATTTCTGCCATTTAACCGTCCCCCACCACCTCCTCCTCCAGCTCCTCTGTCTCTCATGACTCCAACAACAGACATGATGATGGACTGTAGCAGAATTGAGCAGAATCATCATCAATTCAACAAACCTTTACAGAGTCACCACATGCAGAAGAAAGAGCAGAGAAGGAGATGGTCACAGGATCTCCACCGTAAATTCGTCGATGCTCTTCACAGGCTTGGAGGGTCACAAGGTTAGTCCTTAACCCATAATAAAAAGGAATCAACTTTGCATCAAATAGATTGATTATGAGCTTATGATATTGAGATTGTGTTATGTTGTTATGTTGTTGTGGTGAGACAGTGGCTACACCAAAGCAGATTAGAGATATGATGAAAGTTGATGGTTTAACCAATGATGAAGTGAAGAGCCATTTACAAGTAAAAGTTCTGTTCTTTTTTAAAAACCAATTAGAAACTTTGATGTGTGAATGAATGATTTTGATTGACAGTGTGTGAAAATGAAATTGTATTGCAGAAATATAGAATGCATATCCGTAAGCATCCGCTGCATCCGGCAAAGCCTTTGTCATCCTCGGATCAGCCCGTTTTGTTAGATAGAGAAACACAGAGCTTGATAAGTTTGTCGAGGTCAGATTCTCCACGAAGCCCACTTGTTGAAAGAGGTTTGTTCAGTAATACTGGTGGCCATAGCTCGGAGGAAGCAGAGGACGAAGAGGAGGAGGAGAAATCTGATGGACGTAGCTGGAAAAGTGAATCAAACAAGAAGAGACAAGTGTTGGATCTTGAGCTTTGAAGAAATCAAATCATAATACTCATGCATAGTGATGATAAAGTTACCAACTTATGTTATATGTGCTCAAAAATTGAGGTTTGTTCGGGAGTTTTTGTAGATGTAAACATGAGAGGGGAAATAAGGAGAGGATTTTGAGCAAGAAAGAGGTTTTTTTTGCAAGAAATTTTAGATAGAGAGAGAAATTATAATCCTCAGGTTTGTGTTGTTTTTTTTTTGTTTACTTCATAAGAGGGAAACTAATCGAAGATTTTTTTTTTTTTTTTTTACTAGTTTTATAGTGAATGAAAGAGTCCTTTTTACTAGTTTACCGACTCTGTATAAGGCTTTGTTACCTTTTTACCTTAGAAAACAGAGGATGAAGAAAATCACAATCTTTTCGTCTTTGTAAGACATCGCTTTCTTCAATCTACCTAATTTGAGATTAATAAGGAACAAAATGAAGAATCTTTTATTGCATAAAATCGTACGATAAGATAAATAGTTTTCGTCTTAAAATCGACAAGATAACGATTTGAGATTTTCATTATGATATGTATGCAGAAAATCCACGAGATTTGCATGGTTGGTGGAATAACTTCTTGCGCCACGTACATATTATTTATTAGCAAAACAGGGTAGATATTTTTGATCTTCAACATAATTTTCTAAAAATTTGATATTTTTCTTTAGTTATTTACATTTATTAGCAAAACAGGGTAGCCAAAGTTTTAATTTCTATATACAAATTGGAACATATCATAGTTTTTTAATTTATTTTGTTTTCGGTCAAACTCATTAGTATTTTAATTTAGAACCAAAAATTGGTTGGCTTGGTACGGTTGATTTGCTTTTAACAAATTTTGTATGCCTAACCGGTTTAGCCATCCCTGGTCTGGGCCTTGTCTTCATCAAAATTCACTTTATCCTGTTCGTTCTCTCGGCGAGATTTGAAGGGTTTAAGCAATCACCGGAGCTACGAACTGACCTTTGGTTACTTCTTTCAAGTTTACTGAGCCATGAGAGAAATCGTGACGATTCAAGTTGGAGAATTCGCAAACTTCGTTGGCTCTCACTTCTGGAATTTCCAGGTTAGCAGCGAACTACAAATGATCTTCGATTTTCATTTACTGTTTGATGGATTCTGGCTATCGTTTTCAATACAGAAAGTCTTGCCCTTTTTGTTTCTTTCTGTTTTTGGCTAAAGTTGCTCACTTTTGCTTTGGATGTAGGATGAATTGCTCGGATTGGCGAGTGACCCAGAAAGCGATCCAATCTTTCGAAACCAGAATCTCGACATGGACGTTCTCTACCGCTCCGGCGAGACCCAGCAGGTGAGATTGAGATTTCGTTGACTTCTGATCATATTGCTTTTGTAAATCTCAACATTTCTGTGGTGGAAATTTATGCAGGGGGTTGCTACATACACTCCTCGTCTGGTCTCAGTCAACTTCAAAGGTATTTATTAATCTAGCTTTTGTTAATCCGAATTTGTCTACATTCTTACTAGCTTGAATTAAGATGAAGAACTTAAGATACTCATCCTCTTGAATTCAACTGAGCTCCGATGATAGAGTTACTTAAAACAAGCAAGGTTCTGGATTTGATTATACCAATGGTGGTTTTATTATGTATTTAATCATCCGAAACTTTTTCGCCTTTCAGGGTCACTAGGCACCATGAGCTCGCGTGGTACCCTCTACAACGAAGGTTCTTCATCAACATCAGATTCTTCAAAAACCTGGTCAGTTATGCTGATTTTTTTCCCGCTTTGGTGTATATATTTCTTGAACTTTGTGTTTAGGGGAAATGTAATAAAAAGCTTATTCTTTTCACTCGAATGATGTGATCTTGATCTCCCAATTTTTCATTAGTTAAGTAACCATTATGTGTCTTGTAGGTTTGGAGATGTTGACACTCAGAGATCTGAGCCCCGAAAGAAGAACTTGTTTCTGCAAAGTCTGTATGAGGAAGAAGTTAAAGTTGGGAAAGAAAAGGCGAAAGAGATTGAGGACAAAGATATCGTTGGATGCTTAGATGAAGGAGTTGAATGTTGGACTGACTTCTCCAAATCCCATTATCATCCTCAAAGCCTATACGAGCTTAGCGGATTGTGGATGGACTCTCAGGATTTCAACAACTACGGGATTGGTAAGGACGTTTTCTCTGAGTCTTCACGAGGAGAGGAGATATGCGACAGGCTCCGTTTTTTCGTGGAAGAGTGTGATCACATTCAGGGTATTAAGTTCCTTGTGGATGATTCGGGAGGATTCTCCGCTCTAGCAGCTGATTTCTTGGAGACCATCGCTGATGAGTACGCGAACGTTCCTGTATTGCTGTATGCAGTGAGGAGTCCAGTGTCGCAGATGAACCCTAGAATCTCTAAAATGACGGTTTCAAACAAGCTTCACGATGCCATATCGTTCTCTCGACTCTCATCCTTTTGTAAACTCTTCACTCCAATCGGTTTACCATTCTTGAGCGGAAGTAAGCAACATCCAAAGCAGAAATCTTTATTGGTTTTTCTCTCAATGCAAAGTGATGATTTTGATTTGCTCTGTTTTGTTTCTTTAAGGTAAAGCATCGAAGTTTCTGAATTTCGGAGATGAGAAGCCTTACCGAAGCAGCGCGGTGTACGCGGCTGCTCTACATTCAAGCACGATGCCTTTCCGAATGCAACCAACAAGCGCGGATTCAAGTGAAGTGTCTAATTCCATGGATGTTACTACACTTGTGCAGCTGTTAACGGGTCGTGGAAGACAAAACATGGTGACGATTCTGGATTCCGCAATGCCGGTTCCTACATTAGCAGGGAAGCAACTAGAGAATACCCTTTTAACGGATTTGCAGGCGCTAACACCGGAAGTAACCGAAGATGTAGAAGACAATCTAGCGGTTGAGTCAATGTGTATACTTGGAGCGCTTAAATCAGAAGATAAAGAAGCATCGGTATCAGAAGTGAAGAACGCGGTCGATGCATCTTACGAGCAAAGGAACAAAACCAAGCCGTTGTTTTGCAATCTATCGGTCTCGCGTTGTCCTCTTCCCGTGCCTTTACCATTTCCTTCTATATTTGGAAACCTTGTTGGGAGGAAAGGTGGGATCTTGAGCAGTCCGGCCTCTGATTCTCTGTACAGAGGCTCGCTTGATGTTCACTCCATACCGGTAGCAACAAGATGGAGGTCGTCGAGCGCGATTTTGCCGTTCTTGGAAAGTAGAATGGGGAATTTAGAGAAGCTTGGGATCCAATGGGGAGCCATGGGATCAGATGTGGTGAGGGAATGGGGATTTGGGAGAGAAGAGTTGCAGGAAATGAGGGAGAGCATGTCGAAAATGGTATCTGAGCTGAGTCCTTACCAGTTTTTGGAATCTTCGGACTCAGAATAGAGTTTTTAAGTTTATGTCTTGAAACGAAACTGTTGTATCATCACTGAGCTTGAGTCCTCACTCCTCAGTTTAGGAACCTTTTCAAACCTTTACTTGTCCCCTAAATCAAATTTATAATAACTTTTTTTCTAATGTTGTTTCTGCGATGTAAGTGGCTTGAGAAAAATGAAAGCAATTGAGTTTGAGTTGAAATCAATTGGAGGCAAAGGAGAGAAGCAATACTGAACCGGATTAAACCAATATCAACCCCAAAACATATCAACATTTTAGTTTCAATGAGATTCTTCTGATCAATTTAAAACATACAGTAGCTACTTTTCAACCTTTCCTTCCCTGTCTCTACTTCTTTTGTGCACTATAGAGTGACTTCTATCACACTCTCTCTCTATCCATGGCTTAAGGGATCAGTAACCTGATGCACCTTACGTGACTCGGCGCTCGTGTACTGTCCTACGGCTCGGGCATGAGGAATTGACTGCTTCCCGCTTGCGAGCGCATTCACATTCTCAACTAGATACTGTCTCGGGAGCCTCCCGACCACATTACCTTCCTCGTTCCCTTCTCTATCGAGGAAGGCGAAATGAGGAATACCCTCAACACCAAACTCATCCAGCTCTTGCTCCCATTTCGTGTTGTCCACATTTAGCATCACAAAGTTGACTTTGTCCCTGCGAATCACACAACACCGAAAACAAACTCAGCATTAACTTTAGCCTGCGAAATGTCAAATTAGCATCAAGTAAGCTCCATAATCTATTGATATCAATGTTTCGCTTCAGCAACTAGAATTCTTCAAAGCTCTAGCTTGATCCTTAGCATCTACATATAGCCAAAACCATTCCTACACAAGCTCCTTAATCCGTTAACCAACACAACACAGGAATGGATCTCTTCTACAACAAGAATCTTCAAAGCTCTAACTTATTCATCTTCATTCCCCAAACAAGTCTCCCAATCCATTAAACTAACACAACGTTAACGAGTCTACTCTGGAACTAGAAAGCTCTAGCTTGTTGTTCATCTAGATACATAAGGTTTCAATTTCAAGAAGATTGTGATCATAAGAGCACATAAAGACCATTACTTGTATTGCTGCTCGATTTTGTAAACATCAGGGGCTAGTTCTCGACAAACCTCACACCAATCTGCATAGAACTCCACCACTGTCGGTTTCCCATTCGACAAGGCCTAACAATCCATTTCACAACAAAAAATCATTAAAACATTCGTATCAAGTTACTCTATCAGATCAAAACGCAGATGAAGAGTCTAAACAAGCAAAAAAACTACCTCCTCGTAAGGCAACGCTGAAGCGGTTAAATCCTTCAAGGAAATCCCAAAATCGAGCCTTGTCGATAGAAACAACGCCAAAGCCGCGATCACAGAAGCAGCCGCGACTCTTCTATTGATATCCCCGTTGGGAGATTCAGGGAACCCAGACGAAGAAGAAGAAGAAGCAGTAGGAGATGGTTCAACTTCCTTCGACGCAGCTGAATTTTCACCAGCGGAGCCATTGTCTACTACCAACTTCTCCTGAATCAGGAAAACGATAGACTTAATTCAGCTAATTCTCCGTCGACCCATCTAAAAAAGAATCGAGATTTTCACCTGGGTTTCGGAGGATTCTGGGTTTGTTTGGCAACGAACAGCACGAAATCGAGGAGCTCCTGTTTGATTTAGGAAAAAAGATTGATAATTTCGAGGAATTGGATTGAATCCATGACTAGATGGAAGGTTTAACGAAAAGACCAAGCGAGCCATCGTCGCTCAAGAGATAAAACAACGATGTTCAATTTACTTACTTGTTGATTATCAGAATACAAATGTTCATATAAGATCGATATTATATCGTAGGAGTTGTAGCTTCTTCGTCTGTCTAAGTTATTTAGAACCACACATTATTAGTTTGTTTCGCGCAATAAAAAGATATTTAAAAAGCTAAGCCAAATTCGACCCATAATAATAGCATTTGATCTCGTTCTATAGGTATGATTAGTGAAACGTTTTAGAAAAATCAATCTGGGATTATACAAATTTTCAATATCTGTATTGCTATAAGTAGTATAATATATCATGTCATTAAATATCAAATTACTGGCGCGTCTATTTTTATTTACATTTATCTTTTTTGTTTTTGCGGTTCCATTTTGCCAAGTCCGCCAAAAAGCGAAAAGAAGGGTTTTAGGGTAGAGAGAATCAAAAGCTCAAAGCTCTTCCCAACCAAATTTCGCGTTTTTTTTTAATTCTTTCTTCCAATTTCGAATTCACCCAGAAATTCAATCCCCTCCAAAGCGTTAGCGATGGTTGAAGAAGCAGCTTCAGCATCCGAAGCTTCGGTGACGGAGGTCGTGCAAACCCTAGCCGAGCCTGTGACGGAGATAGTGCAAACCCTCGAACCTAACCAAGCCTCAATCGAAGCCACTGTCGAATCTGCTGTTCAGGGAGGTACTGAATCGACCTGTAACAACAATAACGCCGCCGAGAGCGCTGTAACTGATGTCTCCGACGAGGATCGTGAGAAGACCCTTGAGTTCGCCGAGGAACTTACGGAGAAAGGTTATGTCTTTCTGAAAGAGAAAGATTTCGTCGAAGCGGTCGATTGCTTCAGCCGTGCCCTCGAGATCAGGTCTCATTTCTCTCTCTCTCTCTCTCTTTACGAAAATTTTGGGAGATTTTTTTTTTCTTGGAGAATTTTGCTACTTATGTCAGTGCTTGTATGACTAATAGATTTGATAGAAGCTTAATCTAAGAGTTTAGGGTTTCAAATGTTTACGATTCGATTCCTGGGATTTACTGTGTAAATTTTTGCTACTGATGACCCTTAACAGGGTCTCACACTATGGTGAACTTGCTGCTGAGTGCACAAACGCCTACTACAAATATGGATCAGCTCTTCTGGAAAAGGCTCAGGCTGAAGCTGATCCACTTGGTATCATGGCCAAGAAAGAAGCTGAAGAGTCCAGCGATAAAGATGGTTCTGTTAAGAGCACTGTTTCAAGTAACCCAGAGAGACAAGGGAGTTCAACTGGGCAAGAAGGTATTAAAAATGGGGAATTGTCACCTTTATAGAATCTAATTATGATTGCAACTCCATCGACAATAAACATGATTGAGATGCCTTGTTTGTTTATTTGGTTGATGAATCAATTGGCTTATAGTTCTGGCAGATTTTTCTATTAGAGTGTCTTGTTTTTGAGCATTGCTGTTTCTTTTTTAAGGTACTAAAGATGTAGGAGAAGATGTTGAAGATCCTCAACAAGAGGATGACCTATCTGATGCTGATGCTGATGCTGATGAAGATGAGCCTGACTTGGATGTGGCCTGGAAAATGCTCGACATCGCAAGGGCTATTACTGAAAAACATTCAATCGAAACAATGGAGAAAGTTGATATTCTCTGTGCCCTTGCTGAAATATCCTTGGAGAGAGGTAATCTTTTTTCTTATTTCACCTTCGAATGTCACATTTTATCATGCAAGTTTTCTCAGTTTCCATTGGTTGAATTTTTGTGTTATTTACAATGCAGAGGACATCGAGTCTTCCCTGAGTGACTACAAGAACGCACTGTCTATCTTAGAGCGACTGGTTGAACCTGACAGTCGACACATTGCCGAACTGTATCCTTTGATTTCTCAGACTATATCTTATTATAAATTCATTTCTGTGAAATCTGTTGGTGGATTGTATGACCTTAACTTAAATGTCTCAGAAACTTTCGCATATGCATCTGTTTAGAAACTGGATGTCAGCCTAAGGAAGCAATACCATATTGTCAAAAGGCGATGCTAATCTGCAAGGCGCGGATGGAGAGGCTCACTAATGAGATCAAGGGTCAATCTGGCTCGGCGACTTCATCAACTGTCTCTGAGATAGACGAGGGAATCCAACAATCATCCAATGTTCCCTACATCGATGATAAATCTGCTTCGGACAAAGAAGATGAGATCAGAGACTTATCTGGTCTGGCAGAAGATCTAGACAAGAAGGTTGAGGATCCTTCATTTGTTTTCTGCAGCTTGTTACAAAATCTCTAAAGAAAAACCCTATACTAATGTCCATCATTTCTTTTCTGCAGCTTGAAGATCTGAAACAACAAGCAGAGAACCCAAAGCAAATGCTTGCTGAGCTAATGGGAATGGCATCAGCCAAGGCGAATGCTAGTGACAAGGTTGCTGCTGCTGGTGAAATGAGCTCTTCTCGGATGGGGGCTGCGATTACTGGGAAAGAGTTAGAGTCGCCTACGGTCTCAACAGCTCACACCGGTGCAGGAGTAGGAGCATCATCCGGTGTTACTCATCTGGGTGTCGTTGGAAGAGGAGTGAAGCGAGTTTTGACAAACGCAACCTCTGCAGAATCAAGTCCATCCAAGAAGCTAGCTCCTGAGTCTTCCGACAAAAAGGCATAGAAACCTCTACTACTACTGAGTTTTTAACTGAAGAAACAGGGAAAAACATTTGGTATCCTTCTCGTGAATCCTCCCAAGACTTAAGATCTTCGCTGTTCTTTTGTTGTAATTGGGTCCGTACTTTTTAAAACTTTAATCCTTCGGAGCCTCTCGTATTTTTGCGTACTGTTTTTGTTAATCAGTCTTATTCAAATGTGATTTTCTGTTTAGATACAAAATCTACAGAAGAAAGCATTTCACTGGATTAGTTCTTGATTTCTTTTCAGGGTATCGCTTTTATAATAATCTAAAGGATAAAAGTATATCCCTCTATCTTAGTAATTTGGGTTACTTGTAGAATTAAAAAAAACTTGGTAGAATTAAATAATATTAGTAGAAATATTCGCTATGTATGTGGAGATATGATGATGTGCTGTCGATGAAAAAAGAGACACTTGGTGGAGCCAGAGCCAGCCACCATCGGTCAGTGTCACCAGCGAAGTCTACGTGGCGAGCAGCTCTAGAGATATCCGAAACTCTGAAACGCTGTCACCAATGAAATGTTACTAAACATATACTCAATGATTTGGCATTATTTTAATTTACACAAAATCACTATATATATATATAATTCCTGCCTGAAACTTTCAAAGAATCGCAGCGAAGGTGTTTTGTGATTAGTTATAAATACTCTGCTATTGGTTACAACTTAAATATCTCAAACTGTATTGTGTGAGTTTACATTTTCAAGTAAAACTAAATTTAAAATGGGAAGAGTTGACTATTTGGCTATGAAGACTAAGGAGGAAACCTCGGCGAGTCTGATCAATTCCGATCTGAATGAGTTCGTCGCAGCCGCCAAGAGGCTCGTGACAGACGCAGCGATGCTCGGTGGCTTAGGCTTTGGCACGTCATTCCTCCAATGGGCCGCTTCAATCTCCGCCATGTGAGTCAAAAAAATATCAAAACCATCATTAACCTATGTGGTTATTGTTTTGGATCATCAGCGTAATGATTTTGTTATTGTTTGTTTCGACAGTTATCTGTTGATATTGGATCGAACAAATTGGAGAACCAAAATGTTGACTACCCTTTTAGTGCCATACATCTTTTTCACACTTCCTTACGTTATCTTCAACTTCTTCAGGTAATAAAGAACAAGTGGTCTTTAAAATGATGTTATGGTGTTCTTGTGAAAATGTAACAAGACCAAAGTCGATAATATTCCATTTAATTTCACAGTGGAGATTTCGGGAAATGGATTGCCCTCATCGCAGTCACAATAAGGCTTTTCTGCCCTAAGCAGTTTCCAGGTAGTCCACTTATACACCCACACTTATACCATCATCTATTAGGCTATAAATTACTATTTGATCTTAAATTAATATTTTTTCCAATCAATTTAAACATGTAGATTGGTTGGAGATTCCGGCAGCACTGGTCCTTCTTGTGGTGGTTGCACCTAGCCTCATAGCTTGGACACTAAGAGAAAGTTGGGTTGGGGCAGTCATATGCCTTGTAATAGCATGTTACCTTTTCCATGAACACATTAAAGCTTCTGGTGGATTCAAAAACTCTTTTACTCAAAAGAATGGAATCTCCAATACTATTGGGATCGTCGCTCTCCTCATTTACCCGGTTTGGACCATCTTTTTTCACATCTTCTAAGTCGATCCAACCGACCCGTGGAGATATTCAAACATTCTGTATTTTGCTTTCATTTTTAAAGTGTGAATTGTTGATGTCTCTTTGGTAAAATCTTGAATAAACAAAAGAAATCTCAATTGTGATCTGTAAGATATATGGGATTGTATTGTACGTTGCTAATTGGTTTGTTAAATGATCTTGAACACCTTTTAATGGACATGATTTCTTTTAATGAGCATTATCGTACAATTAACGAAATCAGTTAATGGTTGGTGGGATACTCTCATTTAGAATCATTGCTAATGACTTGATCGTTAACGACAAGTCGAGAAGAAAAAGGAAGAAAGGTGGCGAGATAATGCATCGAACTTTTTATACGTGTTATTTCTTCAATTTGTAAACAATAGCCAAAGTCCTAGTTCATGTTGATGATGATATAATAACTAAATAAAACACAATTGTAAGTGTTAGTTATTTTTTTGAAGGCAAAATTTTGCAAATCAAATGTAACTTCTTTTTATTTGATTCAAAGTTTATCAACAAATGATTTTCTATTAATCTAAGACTAGTTGTGTGTATCACGTATTACACACCTTCAACTTTTACAACTTTGTAATTTTTCTCATTTTATTCAAAATTCATAATTTTTTATTAGTTTCAAAGTTCATAAACGAATGATATTCACGTTTTAAACAAAGAAAGTATATGTAATAATCCTAGTTTAGCTATAATTTGTTTGTTCATGGTTCGTACAAACAAAATAATGTTTGGTTGCAGTTCTTGCAGTCCTCAATTCAAAACTAATTTTACTCTAGCTAGTAAAATAGAATATTGTTTCTTTATTGAGATATGTGTATAGATTTTGGTTGGGCCAATATACTGATATTAAAAATAGTACATTCTATCAAACTCTAAGAAACAGTTTATCTTAATGGAGAGTATCTGCTAATATTGAAATGTAAGATGTTAATCGTTATTTTTACCAAACTATAAAATTGAATGTTTTAAATATACAATATTAAATTTTCAGCAAAATTTATTTATATTTTTTTTTAATTTATCAACTTTAAATCAATCAATAATTATTGTTAATTTTTTATTAAAAAAAATATTATCAATAAAACAGTAAATCTCAATTGTGATTTGTAAGATATATGGGATTGTATTGTACATTGCTAATTGGTTTCTTGAGTGTGTCTTGAACACCTTTTAATGGACATGATTTCTTTTAATGAGCATTATCGTATAATTAACGAAATTAGTTAAGCGTTGGTGGGCTACTCTTATTTAGAATTATTGCTAATGAATTAATTGTTAACGATAACTTGTCGAGAAGAAAAAGGAAGAAAGGTGGCGACATAACGTATCGAACTTTTTTACGTGTTATTTTTACAGTTTGTAAACAATAGCCAAAGTCCTAGTTCATGTTGATGATAATATTATAAGTGTCAATCAACTTTAACTCCAAATTTGTTATCGGCCACATATCGTATAATTTTTTTTACGTAATATTTCTTTAGTTTGTAAACAATTAGCCAAAATCCTATATCAGGTTGATGGTAATGTAATAACTAATTAAAAAACCAAACACACATCACATTATCTCCTAGATCATTGAATGAAATATTAAAATCTTAAGTTATATTGTTTGTGTTTTGACTTGAGTTGAGAGGTTGAAAAAAACACAAACACACATCACATTGTCTCCTTGCACTGGACTACTTGCCGTTATTCGTAGTTAAAAGTGTAATGCATGACGTTCTTGAATACAATCAAGATGCGGAATCTTTGACGACCATTAATTTCCAGGCACGTGGCATAAGCCAGAACCTGATAATGGAATCCCACAAAAGCGAAAGAGTGACACACATCAGAGTGCTTTTTGTCTGATCAAAGAAGAAACTCTGCGGCGGACAAATGGCCGCTTCTTTACAAGCCGCCGTCATCACCGTGAATATGCCGTCACGCTCCGTCGCAAAGCTCCGGCAACCTTCACAGAGCGTCTCTAAATCCTTCGGCGTCGAGCTGGTGACAAGCCGTGTCTCCTGCTCCCTCCACGACGATCTTAAGAAATTGACTATGCAATGCGTTGAGGCTACCAAGATCGCCGGTTTTGCGCTCGCCACCTCTGCTCTTGTCGTCTCGGTACGGTTTCTCGCTGCTTGACAAGATACAATCTTTGATGCCAAAAGACTCGAGCCTTTTTACAGTCTAGCTGCTCCTATGATGGCCAAATCAGGGTTTAAGAAATTAAAAATATGCAGAGAAAGTTGAGGAACTTGAAACATTTAATTGAAAATTTGGGTATCTCAGTGTTCACCAAATTACAGTTATTGATACTAAAGACTCAACCTTTGAAGTCTAGTAGTTCCTACGATTGCTAATAGGGCTTAAGAAGTTGATGAAATGAACACTGAACTGAAAATTGAGATTTAAGAATCTGAGCGATTCACAGAGAAGAAACATAACGGAACTTTGATGATTGACGCAACCTTTTTTTTTTGTTGGTGTGAATAAGGGGGCAAATGCATAAGGAGTGCCAAAGAGGCTAACTTTCGACGAGATACAGAGCAAGACTTACATGGAAGTGAAAGGAACAGGAACCGCGAACCAATGTCCGACCATTGAAGGTGGCTTGGAGTCGTTCGCCATAAAGCCAGGCAAATACTACGCCAAGAAGTTCTGCTTAGAGCCAACTTCATTCACAGTCAAAGCCGAAGGAGTTAGCAAGAACTCCAAACCGGATTTCCAAAACACAAAGCTCATGACCCGCCTTACCTACACGCTCGACGAAATCGAAGGCCCTTTCGAAGTAAATCTTGCTGCTAAAACCTTCCATACATTCGACCAGTCCATACAAAATCTTGTAACTTTGGTACTGATTCAATAGGTATCATCCGATGGAAAGGTGAAGTTTATAGAGAAAGACGGTATTGATTACGCTGCAGTGACAGTACAACTTCCAGGTGGGGAGCGTGTGCCGTTCTTGTTCACGATCAAGGAGCTCGTGGCGTCGGGTAAACCAGAGAGCTTTGGGGGAGATTTCTTGGTGCCATCTTATAGAGGCTCGTCTTTCTTGGACCCTAAAGGCCGTGGTGGATCTACGGGATATGATAATGCGGTTGCATTACCTGCTAGAGGAGACGACGAAGAGCTAGCTAAGGAGAACAACAAGAACACAGCTGCTTCAGTTGGTATGATAACACTTGGTGTAACTAAGAGTAATCCTGAGAGCCGTGAAGTGATGGGTGTTTTCGAGAGTATTCAGCCTTCGGATACTGATTTGGGTGCTAAGACTCCTAAGGATGTTAAGATCCAAGGAATTTGGTATGCCCAACTTGAGCAATAAAACATAGATTATCTAGTGAATCTGCATTTTTTTTTTTTTTGTGTTATGTCTGTAAATGTTATGATTCTACAAAAGACTATTGATTCCAGATAATTATTGTACATGTGGAACTCCATTTTGTGGCACTTTTTGGTTTAATTGTTGCACTTTTGGATTTAACCACAAGCTAATTATTGTGATAAAAAGACTAATTATTAGGGATTAAGATATCATATTTCTAGATCTGGATAATTGATTTTCACAGGAAAGATGATTTATGGTTAAGAAGTAAGAAGAGATTTTGCCTTGCGAATAACTTCTGTCTTTTCAGCTCCCCTGTCTGAAAAACAGAGGACCCTTTGTTCTGTTTCTTAGATTTTACCGCATCCAGATGATGGATCTCTGCGTCTTTTACCGCATCCATTAGATGACTCTGCGTCTTTCATCAAATGTGATTGCACCGCTGTTATCAGTATCCATTGACGAAAACATATCTCTAAAGCCAGCAATCTCTTCTTCCGAGAGGCTCTCAGCTATAACCTGGTGTCTTCAAAAACAAAGAACAACACACGCATACTTTCATGGGAAGTGATGCAGAGACCATAGAGAAGATAAAGGGTTTATGCACAAACTCAAAGCCATCTTCTTTAGTTTATTCATTGCAGAGAGCTGCTTGAGACGAGACAGAACAGCCGGATCAAGTGCTCTATCTGGCGCAACACCGTTCTCGCAGATCCATGGATGACCTGAAAAACGAGAAACAACACAAAGACATAAGTCTAGTGCTTGTATCGATAGATGTTGCTACTTATGAAATCCGCCTTCTGCCACCAGATTTGGCATGTGATAACCTTAGATTAGACTCACTTCAAGCCTTCTTCTGACTCTTAGAATCTTCTGCAACTTCCCACATGCTCATCTTATACTCACAATGTGAAACTCCAAAATGACTCAGGGGCAATAACTTGATATTTACCACGCAGATCCTGAGGCTTACAAGCCTATGCAGCTCTCTCCGCGTTTTCAAACAGATACAGACCCAATTGATCATTCGTGACCTTCTTCGTGATGACTTAGTCCTCCACAAAGTCGTCACATTTTTTGGTAAATCCGCCGATTTTGCATCTTACGGTTTTCTCCACAGAATCCGTCGTGCGTCTAAGTTCATCAGTCTGCCACAGTGAAGTTATCTCCCTAACCTTTTAAACCTAATGATGGAATACAAGATGTAGTTATTGGATTAAAAAACTTATTTGGATTCATTAGCACATAGATCCAAGATACAAAAAACACACAAGGTTCATAAACAGGTACACAAGTAAGAATGATTCAGAGAGTGACAGAAACAGAATGCAAAACCTTGTAGCGATCCGAGAAAGGATTAACGGTCATGACAGTGTTATTCCACTCCTCATTGCTCCAAATCTCGCCTCCTCGTCTCTGCAATGAGATCTCTGCACACCTAATCTCAATGTCTGCACACCAAATATCATCAGGGTCAAGATCCCCCTTGTCCCAGAAGACCACAATGTTGCCACCAGATTTGCAGAGTCTCGCTCCCGGAAGTTTATCTACGAGATTTCCCTGTACACCACGCCTGATCTTTTCCCTCTCCCACAGAGCCTCGAGGTTGCTATCAAAGTGGACCAGTCTGGAGCTAGAGAGACTCTCCTTCAGAGAGCCCAAACCCTTCACATCCCTCCAATACATCCCCTCTGGTGGACCCTCCAACTGCTCTACCTCACACCAACTCAAAACCCCGTGCTCATCACAAGCGTAGATCACTTTGTCAATGACACACCAATCTCTTTTGTTTCCCTGCGGCGGAATCGTATTCCCTCTTCCCCATTTGTTTTCCCTCGGCGAGTAGTAAAAGGTTGTCCATCTTCCATCCACTGCGTAGACCTTTTCCTCCATCACAACCACACTTTCGTGAATATACACAGTGTCCCGTATACATTCTGGCGGTGGCGGCAAAGAATCCCAAGTTTGGGTCTTTGGGTCGAACACCTCTGCCCACTTGGAGCAATCTCGGTCCCGGCAGCCTCCTAACACGTAGATCTTCCCGCCTACGACTCCGACCGCGGCGGAAGCTCGGGCCACTCCCATGGAAGGGGCTCGGCTCCAAGTGTGAGCCCGACAATCCAAGTGCAAGACATCGCAACAACGGGGCTCTCCTTCTCTGCTTCCACCGATTACATAGATCCCCCAGTCCAGCGCCACCACGGAGGATGCTTCCGTAGGCTGAGAGGGGGACGAAGGGATCGGAATTCTTTGGAGCCGATTCACAGTTTTCTCGCGGTGGAGGATGAACCACCGTGGGATTGGGTCGGGAGGGGTGAGCAAGCACACATAGAGGCAATTCTCGGTGCACCCCAATACCGATCTCGTCCTGTATAGCTCAGGCGAAGCCACCACAGAGCGATAGCTCTTGGAGACCAGAGACAAGGCCGCCTGATCCGATCTCGGCACTCGAGCCAGGCAACTCATAGCCATCTCATCTGGCAGCGAAGATAGCGGAGACCACGATGACGGCGACGGAGACGGCTTCCTCTTCTTATGCGGCGGCTCTTCGACGGCGGCTGAATTCGACATCGCGACACTCAAAGGTTGTATTTTTTTTTATCTTTCGGTGGTTTCTCAGAGACACAAAGAGAGATAGAGAGCTCTGTTTCTATATATCTTCTTATTGTATAGGAAAAAAGTCAACAATATATATTTTCATTCTTCCAAACAGAAAAGGAAAAGATAAAATCTCGAAAAAGTAATTAATAAAAAAAAAAGTTATGTTCAAAAAGAAAAAATGGAATATCCAATATTTTTATGAAGAGAAAAAAAATTATCTTAAAAGAAGAAAAAAATGTACAGAATAATAGTAGTAAATAATTAAAAAGGAAAACAAACCTGAAAAATGGAATTATAGGAGCAGAGGAAAGGAAATGTGTATTAACTTTGTTGTTGCTGGTTATTTTATTATTATTATTTATTTTATTTTTTTGAACTTTTTGTTGCTGGTTATTGGTGGCAAGAGAAAATCGGGAAACGTATCTCCTCGTCGCCCCTGTCCCGGACCATATAACGAAACCTCCTTATGTCGATGACAAGGCTAAGAAGCTAGTCATGGTTTGAGTTAGTTTCGTTTCCTCCAAGAAATCTTCGATTAGGTACTTCCCGTTGTACTTTGGTCATCGTATAGAAACAACGAGAACCATACTTCCAACCAACTGTAACCGTTACTCTAAGCAATAAAAGTGACCTATATTTTGGATTCGGAATTGTTGCGGTTGAGCTACATGACTACGATCGTTTTACTTACCACGTTTTCTATGTGTGCATATTTTTTTTTTCCTAATGAAATTTAAATAAAATTTCAAAAGAAGACTTGTAATTAATTTTCTTGATTCTGTTGTAGTTAGACATGTCAAACGGGCTGGTCCGGCCCGATCCGAAATCTGTAAAGTCTACATATATTTAAATTTAGTTTGGTCCGGCTTGATAATAAATCGGATCTATATTTTTGGGTAAGCTGGAGATCGATCGGATTTAAGCTTAAATAAACTTAATTTAAATGGGTTTAGTCTCAAAGAACCAATTTTTTTAGACTTTTATACCAAAACTCAAACCTAGTATTTCTTTGGAATCGGGTCTGACCAAATTTCAGAATTTGATCTAAATTGACATCCCTAAGTTCAACCATTTTAAAATGTCCATGCATGAGTTAACTAGTGGTACAAGATGTATATGAAGATCAAAAATTTTATTGCAAAAAGTTTTGTAATGACGTGATACAAAGAAATACAAGGGTATATGAAGATCAATTTTGTTGTTGTTTAAGTTATAACACGAACGATATTTGGATATGGCATTTTTTGAGTTGTATAGGACATTCCGTTATTAAGAATATAAATTTAAAAATTTATGGAAATAATTCAAATTCGTTTTGGATATATTTATTTATTAATTTGTAGCAGAATTGGTCGTTGCTTTTGTCTCATGTACTTTGTACACTGAATAAATGTTAAGATAATAGTCTCAATTTTTTACTTTTAAACTTTTTGTGCCTCTATTGTGTTCCCATTATAATTTCACAATTAAGACTCCTAAGGATGTTAAGATCCAAGGAAACTGGTATCATTTCTATTGAATTGGCTCATGTAAAACGAGTATACCAAAGCTGTCCAACTCATCGCAGCATCTTAAATAGAACATAATCATCGTGTGAAGATATATATTGCAATGATCATGGAATATTCAGCACTTGATTTGCTTTTATCACGATTATGTAATCACTAGACTACATAAAGTTGTACAACTTTGTTGTTGTTGATGGTTGGTGGTCGACTCTTATGGCTCTTCAAAGGCGCTTTAATGTAGTTTTTATTTTATTTTCTATAATAACATTGACACAAACACACACACATAGTCTACTACATCAAAAAAAAAAAATGTGTTAATCGAAATAGTTGCTATTTAGAAAGCTTTCATAAACTTAATTTGAGAGGCTTTCTACACACTAATTTAAGAAAATTTCTTAGATTCTAGTTTTGAAGACTTTTTTTACGATTTAAAAATATTCGATATTTGTTTAGTTCAACTAGCAAATGTCATATCGGGTGTCCCATTAGAACACTGTATTTATACAAAACTTTTGTAACCTTTTAACTGTAACAATTTTGACCTTATATAGTACATATATATCTTAACTCTCATTTGGTTTGCGAATATCCTTTTTTAATTAATTGGTCTGCAAACATCTGGATTTAAATAAGTATTTATGTGTATTAACATAAATACAGATGTATCCAAATAACTAGTTTAGTGTTAATATATTTTTATTTCATTCACTTATAAATGAGAATCGATTTTTGGATATTAAAATGTTCGTATTGTTGTAAATAGAGAGAAGAGATAGAAGGACTTGATGTTGTGTTATTCCAATGAATAAGTGGTCCTTCATATAGGAGTACAAAGAGAGGGTTTTACTTAATGACAAAGTAAAACTTAGTTTACAAGTAACTCTAGAACTTTCTAAAAGGTGGACCATATGGGCTTATAATGGACATCACATAATTGTTCATAACACTCTTCCTTGATGTTCATTATACAAACTATTCTTTAAAGCGCGTATGATGCTGCCTCGTTAAAAACCTTGTTAGGAAAACCCAGTGGGAAAAACCATAACTAAGGGAAAAAGAGTGCAGTACGCATTAACTCCTCCTCATGACTACATCATTTGAGATCTTTGAGATGACGCAATCCAGTATGATGAAAAAACTTCTTGAAAGTAACGCCTTGGTAAATCTCTCTGTCGAATCTTCACTTGAATGAATTTGTTGGATACATACGTTGCCATTCTTCTGCAATGCATGTCTCTTGATAATGATTTGTCTTGATCATTCTCTTTACTTGATCTTATTAAAGTATTACAAATACTTTGGAGGGGTGTTAAACTTTCATCTTTATATTTCTCTTTAGATGTCTATCATTTGTGTGCTCTTTGTTGCTTCATTAAAACCTTTCATGAAAAAACCCAATGGGATAAAAACCATGATAAGGAAAAAGAGTACAACCACACACATCATCATATTTCTCCCCCTTGGAAGTATCTTCTTCAGGAGATACATTCCAATCATATATACCATCTTTTGGCAATCATTATAAGTACAAGCTTAATGAATAAATTCATATGATTATCTTATAATCTCTTAAGTTATCAGACTTCTTGTCCATAACAACTTTTTTCATATGAACAACCATTTCTTTGTCTTTTTGAACTTCAAGTCCAAACTTCATTTTACTTACAGCATTCTAAATTTGTATGGAACATACTTATACATAAGATGTCATTCATGCTCTTCTTTAGTATTTTAGCTATCTTTCTTGTTATACTAAATCACATCTTTCAATTATGAAATAGATCTATACATTGCTCAACTAGCAATTTAGGTATTGTACTTAGGATCAAAAATATTGTGAGCATTCTTTATGTCAAATCCTACAAGGATCATTTGAGATAATATCTCTACCACTTAGATATCTCAATTTGGAACATTTAAAGACAATATCATCTATTTCGAAGATTTTTCTTCCAAATTACAACTTGGGATAACTCTTCAAGAGATCTTATTATATTCAAATCTAGGATCCTCTTGATCCATAATATTTTGGTAAATACTTATGGGTATATTGGTTAACCTTATAATATTCACTTATACCACATAAAATCCTTTTGTCTTAATTCGATCGAATAATTAGAATCTCCAAGAACATAATTTTAACAATCTTAATCCTTCGGAAATTTGTATCCTTCTGGAATTTTTATTTAAGTATCATTATCCAGTGGGTAGTATAAGTCAAGTTCTTCTCTTATTGCCAGACTGATAAGGAACTTGAAAGTAGTTGCATCCACCACAGAAGAGTTTGTCTCTTCACATTTATCAATCTTTCATATAAAGTCTTCTTTATATCCCACTGGTTTTACACCATTAGATGTATGGACAACTGGTCCAAATGCTCATCTCTTTTCAAGAGATTTTAACTCTATGACTATTGCTTCTTTATCATTTGGCCAATCATTTCTTTGTGTACACTTTGCAATAGATTTCGTGATCCTCTTTCTCATTTATCATATCAACTGCTATACTGCATGCAAAAATATTTACGACGTCGTTTTGCTTTTCGGTTCCATTTTGTTCTACACATGACATAATTTGTTGAGATCGATCTCTTTATTGTCTCAGGTACCTGAATTTCTTTCTTGTCATGTTTAATGTCTCTTCTTGAGATCATTCAAAATCTATCTCCTCTGTCTGACCATTGTCATATTCTGCTCCTTTTCTTTTCTGAGGATATTTATGTTTGGAACCAATAAGTCTATCACACTTCATGCGTTCTTTAGACTCTTTAGCAGCTTGATATTGTCCTTCTGGAATATTTAATTTTATTGGAGCCTTTATAGCTGGTATGTGATCTTGTCACTCTATTTGGATCAGAAAATATTTCTGGCAACTGATTTATTAAACGTCGTAAATGAATTATCTTTTGGACTTTCATTCACATTCTTTAGTCCGAGGATCAATGATAGTTCATTCCAACTTATCTTTTCCAGCTGTTTCTTTTCTCCCCCTGATGTTGGAATTACTGACATATTAAAATGACAGTCTACAAACCGAGCCTAATATAAATCCTTCATTGATGGACTCTACATACTTAATTATCAATGGAGATTTATATCCAACATATATTCTCAGCCTCATTTGAGGATCCATCTTATAACCTTGTGGTGGAGCAATGTGGATATGTACTGCACATCCAAATCATTTAGATGGAAAATATTTGGTTTCTGACCCAAAACCAGATTTGATGGGAGAACTTTGATTACTTATTAGTTTTATGCGAATTAATACTTCGGGATTTTGTGTATGAACATTTTCTATTAGATGTTCAATATTTATCTTTATGATTTTATCATCAAAAGCTTAAGACGTGAATTCACTAACATTGCCAAGGGGTCTAGCAAACTTTAAGTTGCAGATATTCAATATAATAAATTATTTAACCACAAACATTTCCTTGTAAACTT